GTAAAGACCCTGTTTTTACTGGAAACTTCAGATTTTGCTTGTCATAGTTGTTTGTCTGATGGAAACTGACAACAACCAATGAAATTCAAACCACTTCCTATATGATTGCATTACACATCACGTGCAGAGTCATGGTCAGAATTTTTGTGGTCAAGAGGGTCCTTCTTCATGACGACTTAAGATGTTCACACTGGGTCTTGCTTCTTGTTTTTGGCAGTCAAACCAGACTGTTTTCTTGAGTTTAGCATTATGTTTTTTTAAAAATGACTTCATTTAACACAATTCTTTCACCACTTTTGGTGATTCAAGTTTTGTGTACGAAGAATCCCAACTATGACACAATCATCTTCTTAAAAAATAAAACTTTTGGACTGTTTATATGTAAAATAAAAGGAGATCTAAACCAATACAGCAATACTACTTTTTTAAAAATCTAATTAAGCCACGAATAGGACAGTCTGAAACCAATGCTGAATACTCCAATTTTTCATTTATTTTAAATTTAAAAAAATAAAAATAATAACAATTGCAAATAATAATATCAGGAATACCAACGATTTATCTGGTATTTGCACTTTTGTTTTATTATTGTGCTGCCTGTAGCCGTGCAGAGCTGAAACATGTGTACGACTGGCCAGAGCAACAAGTGTATCTTAAAGTATATCTTATCTTAACAGGGCATCACAACTGTCACCATGTGAGCAGCTGGAAATTTCAGACATAGTCGTATTTAAAAGAGTAGATTATGTTGAGAAAGTGTCTGATGACCCGATCACACCACCGTGCTTCACATCATGATGCTGCCTCCACCTTACATTTACATTGATGTAAAGCTAAATTCAACTTCAGGTACCTTCAGGAAATTGTCTTAAAAACTGCTTTTTTCTTCAGCTGTACTTCCTGAGGAGGCTCCGGTCTTTCAACATCTGCAGGAACCTTCTGCAGCTGTTCTACCAGTTAGTGGTTGCCAGCGTCCTTTTTTACGCCGTGGTGTGCAGCAGCACATCAAAAAGGAACTAAACCAGACTGGAGCTGGAGGAGGCCTCCCAGCTGATGGACGACCTCCAGGATGCCTGCATTCAGCTCTGCTCCATCATCCAGCAGGCCCAGAACGAACCCCAGTGGATTCCCGTGAGCTGGGGCCGGACGGAGGAGTAGCAGCTCAGGAGAAGGAGACGTGACGAGATGTGGA